CTCGGTGAAGTCACACCGGAGCCACGTGAACCGTAAGTGACCAGTTGGGATTGCTTCATTAGCTCGTTGTGCCAAGCCCGAAGCAGTTGAATACGCTCAGCTTCATTGGCCAGGAGACGAGCTTGTGCTTCGGCCAGACGAGCCTGAGATGCATCCAATTCATCCCGAATGCTGTCCGGATCCAGTGCGGCAGGCTGTGAAGTGCAAAAGGAAGTCAGTATTTGTACATGAGATATATTGCAAAACGGTTCCCTATTTGGTAATCGTGAAACGAACGGTTCCGTTAGTTAAATACGAACATACGACTTTACAAGTAACATCATCCTGTAATGCTCTCTTGAACGGAGATGCAGTAATGTGAATCGACCGATCATCAGCACTGTTATAATTCCAAAAAACGGTGCTGGTCGAGGATATTTGTTTATTGTGGCTTTATACATTGGAGATCAGTAATTTGGTATGCATAACATAAGAGCCTAATCAGGAACATACCATCACCGTTCCTGGCCGCACATCGAATAATGCATAGGGCAGTCGGTAATTAGTCTTTCACACTTATCACTTGGCCCGTGGTGGTCTTGCTATATTTTTTACCTCAAATGACAATACGTCGTGTATGTAGCAACGGAAGCGTTAACTGAAAAGCTCGGAAGCACTGGACAGCTGTTTCGATCTGGTTGGGTCTCATCAGCAGTGCGAATCCATCGACCCGACTCGGGATCGAACCCGGGACTTCATGGGCAGAACGTAAGCGTGCTACCCACTACACCACCGGGCAGATGATCACATTTTTTCATTTTCCATTTACACGATATAGCACAACCCATCTTTGAGAGTTTGTTGCGGGCCATGGACCCTGCTCAACTCAGCTCTAGCCTCCGAGGGTTACGACTCGGTTGGAAACATTCACAACCTGACTGATTGTGTCATGTGGGTACTGGAGGATCTGATTGGATTTGGATTGGAGGCTATTGACCCGAAGTGGCCACTTCACAAGCACTGATGATGTCACCTCGGCTGGTGATGAAACGTTTGCAAACAAATTGCCAATCTCGGCGAACAGGCGAAATGGAATACAGTAGAATAACTAAACGCCACAGGCCACGTTCTTCCATACAACAAAGTTTGAAAGTTGTTACTTTATAAACGAGTTTGGTAGGTAAGTTGATCTTGGTGTGTTCTCCGAGCTGGAAGTTTTGTTCGCATATGACAAGTGTTATCCGAGATCATCAGGTCGACCGAACTATGCAGTTTCTAATGCACAGTTGTACAATTTAAAAAACTCCATATCAGTAAAATGGACTTACATCAGTCTGAAACAAGGCAGTTCGTTTCTCGGTTGTGGGGTACAGTTTGAGCGATCCGGCTGCACTCGGGATTCGTAGATCAAGTCCCTCCACAGTCGCGTGCATGGTGGTCACTTGCCGAACCAGGTCATCGTCTGTCGAGTTCGGCCGATGTGTCGAGTGCGTCCGGGTAGGCACGGTTGTTGTACGATGCTCTGGCGTTGCGATGGAATCTATTGGTGCACTGGAGAGCGTAGTTAGACTTCCAGTGGGGGCTGCCGTGTTCAGTTCACTGCCCTCCAACACAGTACGCCGTCTTTCCGGGGAGGAGGCATCATGGGTATTAGGCATTGGTGGTACAGCCGGGTCAGAGGTGATGGATGCCCGACGATGTGGAGGTCGCATGAAGGCAAACACTGCTTCCACGTTGGCTGCACTTGCTAGATTGACGTAGGTGTGGCGTCTGGCAGATCGTGGAGTGGCGAGCTTCACACGTGTCGGGATCGCTTGGGCTATCGGTGGAGATCGGGGATCTTGAGGAGACAAATCACTCTCATCTGGTGAACTTAACGGTATTGGAGACAGCGCTGATGGTCGTGGATCGTGAAAAGCGTACAACGGATTACTCATGGCTACAGCCGAAGATTGAGCAGGTGGTCGTGGGATACCCTGATTTGGTTCTTTATTTGTCAAAACCATTTGATAATCGTAAGCTGGGCCATACGCACCATTTTGGCACACCGCTCTGGCGGTTGCAGTGTCATGACTGCGAAGAGATTGATAGCCCGAAGAGCTCGAATGAGTTGCATACATGTGCGTCAGGTGGGTTGGGTTATCTGAATTAGCAAGCGCAACAGGGCCGTGGGAGTGCATGACAGATATCAACTGTGCTGGTTCTGGTTTTGTAGACACAGGAACCTCTGCCACAGTAGCAGCGACCATGTGTAAATCTCTGTCAATTGTCCACGATGAACCGTCTTCAGCTATAACACTAGAGTTTGTCACTCCTTGAGGAGAATCACCGAGAGACTGTACCATGGCTCGCGGTTCCGAGTTTTGAACGGAATATGGTGGAGGTCGTGGGATCTGTTCATAGCTGAGGAACCCATTGGAGTAGTGTTCTTTAGTAATGGAGGGGTTAGATGTCCCCTGAGGCACTGAGTGGTTTTCTTTGGAGGAAGCTGTGAGCTGGGGAATAGCAACATATCTCTTATCTGAATTAGCAAGCGCAACAGGGCCGTGGGAGTGCATGACAGATATCAACTGTGCTGGTTCTGGTTTTGTAGACACAGGAACCTCTGCCACAGTAGCAGCGACCATGTGTAAATCTCTGTCAATTGTCCACGATGAACCGTCTTCAGCTATAACACTAGAGTTTGTCACTCCTTGAGGAGAATCACCGAGAGACTGTACCATGGCTCGCGGTTCCGAGTTTTGAACGGAATATGGTGGAGGTCGTGGGATCTGTTCATAGCTGAGGAACCCATTGGAGTAGTGTTCTTTAGTAATGGAGGGGTTAGATGTCCCCTGAGGCACTGAGTGGTTTTCTTTGGAGGAAGCTGTGAGCTGGGGAATAGCAACATATCTCTGCCCTTCGTTTCCACCTCGCATTAGTTCCGAGCCGCTGCGGCTTCGAACAACGTGAGAGCCCGCGGGTGGGCTATTACGATTTTTCGTAACAAACGCTTTTTGACTGGGACTTCGAGGCTGCGGTGTCAGGAAAAATAAAATAATGTAAGCATAAGTAACAAACTTCAACACGGACGCCAAAAAAATGACGCGAAAGGAGTTCGATATTGAAATGCCGAATATTCATCCACTTCCTCGATTGAGAATTAACCGAATGACAAAATTTACCACAACGTGATAAGACAATTTAAAGTTAATATACAAAACTTGCTGTTATAACATTTGTCATCCATGCTCTGCGTACAGTGAATCAAAAAACTATCCTCTTTAATTAAGTGTGATGTGCGGAACAGATATTAAATAATTACTTTATTTGCTTTTCTTGGGTTAAAGCATCTATCTATCACAGTAAAGTTAAGAAAGGGTATTAATAATCTGCCATATGCGTATATCACTAACTCCAGTCTCGTGTTATTTAAATGAGCTCGCTCGCCTATACCCCGAAAATCTCATGGCTTTCTGAGCTGTGGTCGATGCACAGATACACACGAAAATGCACAGATCGCGAGTGTGCTTATGCAGTAGCATTGACTGAAATTCACCCAAAAAACCAAACGTTTTCATTCACAACTTTTGACTACTGATAGTTTCTGCAGTAGTAAAACTGAGACTGCGACGTTATTAGGGAAACAATTTTGGAACCGACAAAAATAAGGGATGTACACCATAAAATAAGAAATAAGGTCACTAGTTGGCCGAAGTTCATATATCGCAGTTCGTGTATATGCGTGTGTGTGCGAAGGGTGTGGGGGGGAATTTCAGGGACCAAACTTCTGCGATAAATGATGGATCGGTCTATATTTTGTAATGAAGGTGAAATTCCAACTTTCATCTGCCGGAGACTGAGTAGCGTCACAGTAACTCGATGACAAACCTGCAGATTACTTCGTCCTGGCACTATCCATTCAGAATCGAACTTCCCAGTTAGTAAGCGAACAACGGGAAATTGGTGACTAGTCAAAATCATACTTTCTCGTCAGCATTGCGCTCATCAGGTTTGTTGGTGATGACTAGTGCAACATTTTCCTTGGTGGATTTTATGCTATTTTACTGCGTGAGCGAGGAATCATATCAACGACATTGTGTACACCGAAATACAGGAAAAGGGTTCGAGAACCAGTGAGGAAATCAATATTATCTCATCAAGGTTGGGCGTAGGGAAACCTGCATTTAGGGTACGACAAACAAACAGTAAAAGAACACCGAGCACAGGCAGTCGTTCAGCGTATGAGTGTTTTACGATGAGCAGTACACAGAAATTTTGCCTACACATACACATACATACACATCCATCAAAAAAAGATGCATGTACCAGTTCGAAGGGTGCTATACGAGAGCGTGCAGCGGTTGGCGGATTCGATGTGGCTTCCACATGATTTCCATTCAACGGTTGCTGCACAGGATTGTCATAATCCAGTCGGTCACTATTCTGTATCAATCGTGTTATCCCAGATAGATAGTCAGAAGGTTTCGAATCGGTACCAAAACCCGATGCACCCTGAGAACGGTTGAACCGGATAGAAGAGGAGGACATGGTCGCCGAGACGGAATTGGATGTTGGAGAAGACGAGGTTGCTGGTGTTGAATTCACTGGAACCCCATCTGATCGTCGTTGTTGAGACACGAAATCTTGGGGCCACCAATTGGAACTGGGTTCCACACCGGATTTGAGGAAAAAATCGATTTCTTCCAAAACCGGTTTTATCTTAGCAATGTGTGGAGATGCATTCTGGAAAGTGAGATAGTGAAATGGGAATAGTTTACGAAGTGAACAAACTATTGGTTGCGGTTATGCGGAAATACAGTCGTCCCGTCAGGTTGATTCCTGTGCAACCATCTATCTACTTCCTGAATGGTTCCTGAAAGACTAATGGTGCTAATCTGTTTAAAAATAACACATTAAAAATCTTTTGGCATCAATTTATTCTATCAGGAAAGATGTTATTAAGGTTTATTTTTATTGTCGCCTCCTGTTTGCATCGGTGGTAACGATTACTGGTTTGTGCAAGTAGTTTGATATGTCGCACACTGAAAAAATTAGTTCATTTTTATTTTTCAAATCAGCCCCACTCTGTTCGATCGTTGTAACAGGACACGCTTCAATCTCATACTGGGCTTGAAGACTCATGGTAAAATGTGCTTCTTCTTCGAGTTTTCTTTTTCTTGAAGTAGCACAACTTATGCTGACAATACATAAAAACCGACTACTTCAATACTTGTTAGCAGTCCTCCATTATTCCGTACATGTAAACTTTCTGTCTGGATTGACATATGGACACACTTCTTGACAGTAAAGTTTGTCGTGAAAATTGTTGGCTATTCAAGCAATATCATCGGGGAACACGTCCATACCTAATTGATTGTTCTTATGTATACCAGAAGTCGATATTACTTTAATATTTTTCAGGCACGCCTGAATCCAGACTGTGTGCCAAGCAAATCATGTTACAATAATCTTTATGAAAAACAAAAACGTTTCATGATTTGCATGTGGGCGGAATATTGCCAGGTTGACCAGGCCAAAGCAGGTAAGAGTTGACACCAAAACAACTACTATGGAAATACCAAGCAACTACTTGGACCTCCTGTAAGATTATTCGGTTGCATCACCCGACAACAAGATCTCATGTCATCGGATGGTTCGAATAAGTTTAATCACTTATTCACCCACCAAACTAACAAAAAAACATATGACACCTGTAGCAGATAAATAGCTTGAGTGGGAATACCCAATCACCTTCATATCCACAATAATGAAATATGTTTAACTCAAGATTTTCACTCGCGGTATTCAGGACATTTCAAATGAACAGACGGTACATTGTATTTGGTATTCATGTTCAAACTGCAGTAAAGGACCAATGCTCTACCTGTGATACTGACTGAATGTTCGGTACCCGGACATTAATTAAATATCATTTGGTTTGATGTCGGGTTGGTTAAAACAATTATCTAAACATACAAGAAATGACCTTGGAGTTATAAATATTTCAAACTACCTCATTAGCATTCATCTCACATTGAATCGGGATGCAATGTTTTATCGTGTAAACTCTATTATTTTCTATCTATGCAACGGTCATCAATCGCCACTACTTTTTTTCTCTTCTTCACAATTCGCTCTCTGATCGCGATTTCTAGACACTGTTCAATTCAATTGCTTGCATGTAGCTGCGGCCTCATTTTTAAAATCCAAATGAGGGTAATAAAAAGCCTACGCGAAGGTCATGCATCATCTACAGACATAGTCAATATCATGATACCGACAGCTTTCTGTATAAAAGATTGAGGGTTTAAAAATGTGAACACATGGTTACTCCAGTGTAACAGGAAGGACTATCAGCTGTCTCTGTTTTAATCGATGAAAAAGTGCAACAAAAAGTACAGAACCTTGAGGGACACTAGACCATCTGAATCCCCTTATTTTATGAGCCCAAAATGGCGTCCGTACCAAACTAGCCGGTCGAGAATGCTTTTCAGCAATTTACAAATTTACTCAGTGGATATATCAAAATATATTTTGATCAACAAAATTACAAATTCTATACGGATAAAAACAAATTAATCCAAGAGTTTTTTTCTGAGGTGGGTGGCAATATTCTTACGATTAACCAATAAGCCTAGCAAGACACAGAATTACACTGTTTCCATATGTGAAATTAGTACGCGCAGGAAGGAGTGGGTATTTGAAACGAGTTCGATTTCTCGGTGCAGACAGTGCCCATGATCACGTGTTAACCGGTCCATACGGATATCACAAGCGTAAAAATGTTTGGATAACTGTAACTGCGGTCAATTCCTGGCCATTTGACTTCAACGTCGAAGCAGAGTTGACATTCATTCTCACAGCATCAATTTGCACTGTGCAGATGTAAAGCACATACCGAAAGGAACGGCGAAGGTCATTCCTTTATTCGGATCGATCTTGTTCCTTCAGAGGATAACCGTATAACTATGATGGCGGACTTTATTCACAGTTTATCAACTTCAGCTATCGCATTTCTCTTATGTCTAAGTATTGTTTCAACAACAACAAGAACACATTCCCAAAACAAATTCATTACCGTTCTCTCTCTCGCTCTCGATCATTACCCACAAGCCTGCAAGCATCCAAAAAGGTGTGCATACCTCGGCTGGGACCTTTTGAATTGCTTCGGACAATTGCAGATGACACAAGGCCAAGCACAATGCCAAATCCACATGATCCCCGAGTTGCGAGTCTGTGTCGAACCGAGGCAGATGGGGTAACAGAACTGGTACACAAGATAGGTCTCCAGTCTCGAAATGGGTTAGCTGATCTGGACCAGTGTGCCGATCTGCTGGAGTGCCACTCGGAAGGCCTGAGATGCTACGTGTTAGAAGCTATTTGATGTATGTGTGTGTGTGTGTTAGTGTGTGTAGAGAATACAGAGAGACAAGAACGAATGGTTGAACTTATTACGTGAAAAGAAGAATTATATATAACGTAAATAATAATAATAATGAAGGGTAGTTTTATAAGGCATTTTAATGGCAACTAAACGCACGAAGATTCGTCAAGGAGGTATACTAAGTAGACCAGCCGCACCATTGAAAACTCGAAAAGACAAATGAATTGTTCCCAGAAAAGTACTACCATGAAGAGACGTCAAAGTTAAGTGGTTTACATTTTGGTTACCCTTTCAAGTTGCAAGATTGATTAATATGATAGAGTGCTCAGTAGCGTAACTTAAAGTCACAGTCGTACAGTAAAAAACCTGTTGCAACTACTCATTCTCCAGACCTCACGTTTGTCTATGAATTCCCTGTCCATTCAATCTATCAAAAAGTTTCAGGATGCATATGTATCGGCTCGTCTGACTACGGACTCACCTCATGAAAACCAACAAACCCACACCTAGATCGACCAGAATTACCTATTCATCTCTATTCAGACATTACTCTCTGAGAGTGTGAACCAACTGTTACATCTTTCTTTGTCATTTTAACTTTCGATTCATTCAACACATAATGATATGATTTTCAGGAAGAGGGAGGCGGTCAATCCAAGGCCAGTCATACAACGCACACAATGGGGGAAGTCAGGCGGTGGTGGTGGTGGTGATTGTTGTGGTGGGAACACGTCCTCCCGGGGGGAGGGGGGGGTGATAATTTAGTAACATTATCACCGGGTCACCATCACCATCCCATCGACAGCTTCCAAGGGAGACATAATAGACCATCTATGAACTCCAATCGAAAACCTCCCCGGGGATATGAATTTTTTCTTTGTGGGTTTAGGCACATTCGCATGTAATGACAAATTCGTCCAGAAATAATTTATATTCCAAATTATAGTTACTTGTGAGTAGTTAGTTAGAACGAATGAACAGTCCCGTGGGTAATTATTCCCTTGCGGATCAGATGATTATGGCTAAACCCGCTTAATTGGTGCTTTTTTCTAGGCAAATTAGCACAAAGCAGTGGGCCGGGAAACTGGACAATTTGCGTCGCCACATTCAATACGCCCAAATAATTGACATTGTCCCCTTATAAACAGCTCCAGTCCACAGAAGTGCAAATCGGCCAGGACAACCCCATACACTGTGATGTGGGGGACATGTCCGAACTGGACGGAGCGGAGTGAGTCAGCAAAAAATGGGCACAGCCGAAATGGGGCGTTTATTGTGATGAGTCAGCAAGTCTCGCGAGCAGTCAGGTCGGTGGTAGTGAACACATGTGTATCGGAACTCAGCCACACCCTTGCCTGTTCATTTATTGTTGGGATAATTTTTACAGTGTGAAAAAAATAGATAGATCGATTGATCATCCTGTTGATTGTTCTTAGCACGCACACAGAGAGAGAGCTACAAATGACTTTATGGCTTTTGAACAATCTTAGTCGCGTGTTTCACAGTTAAATGAATGCATGCCGAGAGGGAGGACGCATATCCATGTTACGGTACGTTTCATCCTCGTCCAGTACGGACCAATCAGCCTAGTCCAGCCAGTGCAAACGTGACAATAGGGGGAAATGAATGCGAAAATTGCACGCTCAATGAGATTGGTATGAAAAATAAACCATGTTCTATTGTCGACCGTAACCAATCTCACAAAGTCTGCTTTATTTGGTCATCACAGTCCACGTATTCCGCAAAGCGGAATTCAGCGGGGGGGGGTGGTGGAAACAAAGTAACTGGGCCAAAATTGGTAGTTGAGGTGGTCACTAGGTAGATCAGAGGTTGTTTCCAGTTCAACTCAAGGAAACGCCTTGTTTTCCCGGTCAAGTTGGCATGAAGCAGCCTGTAGAATGTTGTTCCTAACGAGCACCGTAACCGTGGCAGGTTAGAGCTGCCGGCAATAGATTTGCGGAAAACAAGACTTACCCCCCCCCGCCCGGCCAAATCTGCTCTGGTTATGACAATCAAATGAGATGGTTTTGCGGGCACTGTTTAGTTGGGATCAACGTGCCTGACTGACTAATATGTTGATTAATTTGACTGACTACCCTTCGGACTTCATATTGACGCACAATCGTCAGTTCATCGATTCAGCCATACACACTCGGAAGCACTAGACTCCAGTTTCGCTCTTATTAGAACTCATCAGTAGTGCATATCCACCGTCGCGTACAAGGGTTTGAACTCCGAACCCATCGGGTATGGAAGTTATGTGTGTTACCACTGTGCCAACCAGCTCATGCCATGACTGAACCAAATTGCCAATTCATGTTTGTTCAGGAGTCGTCTACGATGATAGTCAGTCAGTTCATTTGTCCCGACAACAACGAAAGGGAGACATAGATGACAACCTGTATGGTGTACGGTTGAGTCCATGAACTGAGGATTGTGCGTGAAGGTGAAGACCGAAAGATAGTGAGTCAAATCAATCAATACCAAGTATATCACACGCACACTACTCACAAGTAACTGTCAGATAAATGTGATGACTAATATGTACTATGGATTATTGTTGTCGATCAATTCGGTTAAATCAATCAAATTGTAGATTTTGATTCCACGGATAGTTAAACTTTTGTGCTCTGTAGGTATATTATATTCTTAACAGTTTTACCAAAGGTTGACTGAAGTTCAACGGAAAGACCAACCATACAGAATCAACAAACGATCGGTGTGTTCGTTCGTTCCACTTCGGTCTGATCGCCTGTACCACGGTGTGTAATCAAAATTCAAGAGTCCTCCCCGGGTGACATTACCTGTGAATCTCAGCTGCTCAGTTCTGCTGTGAATTTTAAATACCAATATTTTGTTGATCTCCGTCGCCTCAGAAACAGAAAACTTTTCAATTTGGAGAATGAACCTGGGCGAGGTATTCTCGAAGGAGTGTGAACAAGTTATTTATTACATTTGAGAAGGTTAAAATTTCCATACCGGTGATTTCAAGGTGCCTAAAATAAAAACCATAACTCAAAAAAATCTACTATTTAGCCTACATGTGTAACGAACAAGTAAAGTAACTCATATGCAGACATGCTACTTTGAGTAGAACGAGTTAAGTTTTCATCGTGATTGGCCAGACATACCGACGGGTCGGAGAAACAGTCCGAACTGACACCGTTGTGCGAGGGATCACCGAGAAATGCGCCGTGGTGTGAATGACTGGTCAGAAGTGTGCGATTGATGCCCAGACTGGCTGGAGGGAGACAAATGGACTGTGTCAGTGACATTGTGCCATCCAAATGCGGGGGAAGTGAGACCGGGTCGTTGATGGGTCGGTGCAGTTGAAGTGGTGGAGAGGAGATGGCGTAAAGGAAACGTCGCATTGCGGGCAATTGACTCGAAACGAAAGGGTTCATAAAAGTCATATAGACTTCTTTTGAACCGGCGAACAGACTGAAATTGGCCAGGGATTGAATGGTTTTTGCGACCTGGGAGAAGAGAAAAGTGGGAAAACCAAGGAAATCAGATTGGGGTATATGGGAAACCGGGGGTGGGGTGAGGGGAGTAAGAGGGAAAAGGCAATATCAGATAAAACCAACGCATTGTCGGTTGCTTATTTCGCCAGCTGTACAGTTGTCTTCAAACAGATCCTATCTTGGAGCAAGTCGAAAACGTTTGAAAAAGATCCACCTCTCTGGTTCACATGTCACATGCGTTCTGTCGATAGTGGAATTGTTTTTTCTTCACTATACTTGATAGTCCAAGGGGTTTTTAGCACAATCGGAACTACGAACGTAGGGTGTTCATCAGAGAACCGTCGTCACGATACTCATGGTGGATGAGGAGACAGTAACAAGGCTTCCGGGATTATTCTTGTTTAAAGACTGTAAAGTACCGGACAGTATATTCACTGACCTATGATGACTGCATCCAGCAAAGTATTGTGGAAAT